TTCTTTTTTAATAAATTTGCAAAAATTTCTACATTTCTGTTTTTTTCCGTCAAGATGGGGTGCTGAGTGTACATTAATGAGAAATAAAATGAATTTTAGCAAATGGCTGCAATGAAACAAAGTGAAACATTTAAAGGGGTCTGAATACTTTCCGTACCCACTGTAAAAGAAATCATGCAACCAAATAAAATCAACTGTCCATGACTTCCTGTGTCATGTTTAACTGAACGACTACAAAACTGAATTTCCTCAAATGAGACGGTAGGGTTATGGACCCGCAGGCACCCAAGTGGAATTTATTAAAAAACAAATCACAGCAATCTGATGGCGACGGCGTCCAGGAAAGTGCAGCTTTGGGACTACAGTGCTGCCAACTTGAGGGTATTGCAACAGGTTGAAATTGTTTTGCAGCTCTGCCTCAGACAGCGCGCCAGAGGAGACAGCAGAAGGTGGGACCTAACCCTCTAACACCCTGCACTTTACCATCAACAGCCATCTGGTACCTGTAACGTTCTGTCCCTTTACATCCATTCCAGTCAAGATTTTTTACTAAATTTCACTTTCAACTTATGGTTTTGATCATAAGGTGATGTTTTTCACCCGCTTCCTCACTTTTTTCGCTCCATTCACCTCGTCTCTCTCTGCAGTCAGCAGTCAATCATACCTGATGTGTCCTCCCCGTCATCTGACCTCACCAGCCTCCTCCTCGCGCTCCTCCTGCTCCACCCCCGCAGTCACAAAAAGCCTGCCGCTTCCGGGGAGGAGCTTGCGGTCAGCCGGGGTGTTGCCGCTGACCTCGACCCCCACCTTCTCGGAGCTTTAATTAATAGGTCTATTTGCGGGGGGGGGGGGGGGTGTCTCAGAATAGCACGGATGAGTGTTTCAGTTAGCAAATGATTGATGGATTCAGGGACACGCGCTGCACTGCCATTTCCTCCGACAGGTACCTGCTGCTGCAGTGCACTTCTGTCCTTGGGTGGATGTTTCAAGGTAGCGCTGCAGTAACGGGGCTGTGTGCGTCTGGTGATGCAGACTAGTGGGGACGAGCAAAAGCGTGTAAAGAAAACCGTTTCTTCTTCATAACGCATTAGGGTTAGAATTTGTTTTTAAAACATTATACTCCGGGTAAAATTAACAACAAAACGACCCCCTTAGAAAACAAAACCCCCTCACTGAAAATGAGCATCAAAATCACCAGTGAGGAAAAAAAAAAAAAAATCTAAATCGGGTGCCATGGTAACCATAGCCCTGCGATGCTCAAAAGTACAGAAAATGCTTCACTACATGTGCTGCATGTTAAAGAACTGCTACTACCTACACAGAAGCATAGAGCACAAACACATCAGGCCACACTGTCAAGTTCTTCAACACCTCTAGCTGTAAGTATAGTTGTAATAATCATCTTAAATACAGTCAAAGCACTGAATTGCTGAAAAAGCTCAGACAGTTTCCTTGCGCATCGATTACTGCACCTTCATATTAAAAACACAAAAGCGGCTCAGATCTATTGAGATCTTGTGTGCCTTTGCAGCAGGAGGTTAAGGCGACTCGCCGGCAAAACACTTGAGCATATAATCAGACAATAATACAACATACTGCGAGTGCACCACACTGGAAAAACAACAAAGAGAAGAGAATCCCTCTGCATGCTCGTTGAGGCTCTCTATGCCAGCACTTTGAAGCCTTTCAGGCAGTGAAAATAAGTCAGCCGTGCTCCTGACTGACAACACCTGAGGTGTCCCTGTTGATTCCTGCGCTGAGATACAGATGTAAGCCCCAGCACTTCCTCTGGAGATAGTTATTAAGATTTCATAGGGTGCAAAAAAACAACAACCACGACGTGTTAAGAGTGAAGTAGTGAGCTGCAGACATGTTCCCATTTCAAAGGCTGCTGGTGGAACTCCAGCCTAACGCGCTTTAGAGGCTGCTGATACGAGCCGGTCCCCAGGAAGTGACCATGAGATGGCAGCCGCTACAGATTAAATCTAAAACTTTATTTGATCTAAAAGTAGTTCAGGAGTTACTGCAAACAGCCAATTCCCCGACTGTACAGTACAGTCCAATGGTGTGTGCCCGTGTGGGGGTGCTGTGGTTGTTATTTACCTGAGGGAGAGTCATGGAGCTCACGCTACGCACCACGCTTCTGCCTTAAGCTACAATACGTTTTACACGTTTGTTGGAGTGAGCGAATCAGATAAAATCCAAAAAAGTAAATCTCAATTTATAATATGCTATATTTATTGTGATGGATTAATATTCTAGACAAACTGTATTTTGATGCTTTGGCAACATTGTTCCTGAAACCTTCACGTCAACAAAGCCTCTTTGAATGCTACATTTTCTGGAAAAATCTATTGTGAAACCAACATGAGCGTCTTTGCTCAGAGCAGGGTTTTTCAAAATGGCCTCCATCTTTCTAAAGAAAGCTTTCAAAAACACAACAGCGAGCTACGTTTAAAAGAGGTTAAAAATGCACGACGTGAACGATTATTCTCCGAGTTTGTCGAAGCGTCATTTCATTTCATTTTCAAAGAAACTAAGAAAGGATTGGAGTATCATTTGCACCGAATTGCTGCTGCTTTGCTCTTAACTATCCAAATCCTAGTTTTTCTGTTAAAATTCTGCTTCTATGGACCTCAGGACAAGAGCGCCAGATTTTATTGAGATAACCTCACGAGAAAAACAACAAGCCGACGTAAAACGTAAACAAGAATACAACAGAGAGATCCATACGTGTGCACACTAGCACACACTTGCAATGACACAGCATTGACGGTCTAGGAGATGTGTGAACATCGGTGTCATTGTTTAACTGAGCCTTTGTTGTGACAGAGGTTGAATGACGACCAGAACTTTACTCATTTAGCACAAAAGACAAAGCGAGGCAACAGTGGGCCCTAAAATGGGTTTCTTCTGGTCTCGTCCCGTGTCTCTAAAACAAGCTCCTGTGAGCTTTTTTTTTTCCAGATCAAACCCTGTGACCCTTTTTCCACAACGCCCAGGAGAAATGTAGAGAAAGTACTGGAGGATATAGATGATGGCAGATTTCTCCACTTCTTTACCAGTTACTGTATTCATTATTTATGTTGAAGAATGGAAAAAGAAAGGAGGTATAACACGCGGTGTGGTGCTAAATGAACCATCCATGGACAACAGATGTATCGTTTGTTTAATAAATTTAAAGTTGCTGAGATTGCACGCGGCAAACCGTGCTCCATCTGAAGACTGATCCAAGAGGCCGGTTAAGTATCTCCGTAATAGAGTAAAACCCTGAATGGGTCTTTTGACATCATGTCTATAGTCCAGATTTAAGATACCACTGTCACCTGCAATTTGTCAAGAAAACATAGCAAAACAAATTCACTGGTTCCAGCTCCTTAAATGGGAATATTTGCTGGTTTTGAAAGTCTGCTATTAAAGCAAAATGAATGCATTTGGTTGGCAGATTAATTTGTATAATAATGAGTTGCAGCCCTAGAAAACATAAGAGAACACAAGACAATAAAGTGGCACAGGGCGAAGAAATTATATGGATTAGGACAGCAACGAATTATGGAAATATCATCTTCAAATGTCTTGTTGTGTCTGACCAAGAGCCACAAATTCAAGTTTCCAATTTTATTTTAATTTTTTGGCCGATTTGAGAAATCAATTATTTTACAAACTAACCGTTTTAGCTCAAGTGTGGTAAGAAGACTGATTTCACCTGTGAAACTGTGGGCGCTAGTGTTGAAACTGACATGAAACCACAAGTTCACTCTGAATCCCACGAGAGCTTTTCTCCTTAGTAGTGTCACTGAAGGAGCTCATTATGTACATTAAAAAAAAAAAAAAGGGCTGTTGTCACAGTTTGACAATGCTTGGTCTCTGGCCAAGTCACACCCTGGTGAGGAACTACATGGAGCCTTGGATGAGATAATCAATGGGTGCGAGGTTCCTCGCGGGGTCCTGCGCCTGCTAAAAACCTGGAGTTACATTTGATTTATTAGCGGCTGGACGCCGTCAGGTGGACCAACCCTTTAGCCGCAAACACCAGCTGAGTGGCATGAGGCTATCAGCTAAACTGCTAGCTAGCGTGTGTGCGTGAATGCTAGCCGGCTAGCGAGCTAGGTTGTGCGTTTTAGGCAGATGGATTAAGTGAAGCTTCTCCCGGACAGGCTAGCAAGACGACTCGTGTCTTCCAAAAACACAACAGGCAGTTTGAAGCAGTGCAGCCCTCGTGTCAGGTTAAGGGGAGAGCCGAGTCTTTAAAAGGTAAACAGTGAACAGCTAGCTAGTAACGTTATGTGGTACCTTTGTCTCCTTGATGTCCTGCTTTCCTCCTTCAGGGTACCACTGGACGCGGACAAATCCCCTACAGAGAGGCTGACTCGGGATGTCCACAGCGCTCTCAGTGTCCGAACCACACGGGACTCGTCCTCCTCCACCTCCTCCTCCTCCACTCCCTCCGTCATCGTCGAGGTCCGAGTCTGAGATAAACTCCTCCTCGCCGTGGATCCTCCGTACGAGGCCAAACCGGACTGAGCCGCGATACCGCCCGGAGACCAGGTCGTGGGAGAAGAGCAGCCGCTGGGAGCCGTCCGCTGTGGGAGACAGAGCCATGGATGGAGGCTCGGAGCCCGGGCTGGCTGGGGGAGACAGGCCCGGGGTCGCTTCTGCTGCGTCCGTTGTGGCCACAGCATCCGATGCTACGGGCTCCGCCATCGCTGCTGTTGTCAGGGAGTGATGCTAGAGCGCGAGGATGACGGTGGAATGAAAAAAATGTAACCTGGAAGCAGCGAGGTGCACGTGTTTACGTCGTTACGGAGAGCTGCGTAACTAGCGCAGTGTGTGCACGTCATCACGCAGTACCCCCTCTCACCACTGAGCGGCAATGTGAGCCTCAATCGTACCTGTCAATGTACCTGTTCAATTACGTTCTGGACGATGGAAAAAGTAACGTTTTCCCAGAATATAGATGGCTTTTTTTCGTTGTTTTGTTTTTACTTTAAAAACTAACCACAAACAAAGAATATACCTACATGAATGTATTGTAAAGAGTTGTTAGGTGTGTCCCTTGAACAATTATAAATGTTTTGAAACGTATTGTTTATTTAATATGCTTCTAATATTGGTACAAAAATATTTTTATTTGTTTTATTGTTATATTTTTTGTACATTGAATATATATTATCTGTTTTATATTTATTATCACTCATATACTGTTTATTTGAATTGTGTTTATTTGCCCAGTAATGTTTGTTGATACTGTGAAATAAAGGGAAGAAAACAATTGAAAAGCTTTGTGTAACAAATACCACACATATTACGGTAATCAGCGTTGCATATGTGTCTGACCAAAATACCAAAAAAGCAAAAAAGCAATGATTCATTTAAATTATTTTTTTTGAGTTTTTAAAGTGTTTTGTTTGTAATATGTATAATAAGCATATCATTTAGTTATCGCTACTGAGAATTTAACAAACAAAAAACATGACTTAGGTAGGTTTGCAGTTTTCAAGGTGTATATATCAAATTGCATTTATTACATACATGAAAATAAAGTTGTGAACACGCTGAATATCTATTAGAATCATTATAACTGTATTTTAACTGCTACTGTGTAAAGGAAATACTGCTGTTAAAAAACACCTTTTTTGTTTAAAGTGTTTGCAAACCAAATGTTATTGCACTTTTGTTCATAGCAGTACTTTTAAAATAAAAGTGCGCAATACACTACTTTTGAATTCATTATTGAATTTTGTGCATAACAATGCGATTAATCGCAGAAAAATCGTGGGATTAATCGCGATTAAAAATTGTAATCGTTGCCCCCAGCACCAACAAAACAATGAGATATTGGGAGTCCTGATAAAACCTTGATCCCAACAATATTTGAAACATATCTTAAAATATAAAAGAGTGTGCCTGGAAAAGCTTCGCACACATAAAACTCGGTGTTTATCTGGAGATGGAGATTACTTTCAGCCTTGTGACCCTCACAGGGAGTCCACCTGCTCTTGGTGTCCGTGTCCGTCAATTAAACCTCCCCTAAATACCATTTCACAGTAAAGCACTGAGCTCTGATGCTGCTGCTGTAGCCTTTGTGAATACAAAACGTGCGGTTTCACCTTGTGGGAAAGTCGCATGACGTTAGTTAGGTTGGGTATGGATCGTAACTGTTGCTTGTTGAAATTCTCGACACACGCAGTTTATTTTAAACACTGAGGAGGTGACAAACAAACTACACGGCCCGTAATCCTCTTAAAGATTATGGAACATAAAGCGTGAGCTCGACTTAAAGGGACAATGGAAAGTCTCCCTCAGAGAAGTCACATGAAGAGTGGTAAATCGAGTCCTTAAAATGGCCCAGTCCATTACCAGGGAGCATTCAATCCTCTCGGTGTGACAACAATAAATGACTCCGACGTTTAAAATAAGATACGATAAGATAAAATAATCCTTTATTAGTCCCGCAGTGGGGAAATAATATAAAATATAAAATATACAGACAGTTTAATAGTGAACCAATCAGAATAGCTCATATACCTTTCTAAATCTGTCCGTACGACTCCCACTCTATAACACATGTGTGTGATTGTTACACCTGATGTTACAGTAGCTCGGTATTCATGTTTGTGTGAGACCGCCAACACATGATCGGTAAAATCCAAATCTTTAGCCGGTCTGTTGGTGGCATGACTAGGATAATTCTCAACACACCAATAACAACCTTCTGACCCCGACTGAATATGTTTATTGTTCAATTTACCCACGGGGACATGCTCATTCAGCTTGCTTCAGGATTATAAACCAAGCGCACATGCGCACCGAGCGTATAAATACTGCAGGCGCGCCGCTCTCTATAGTCTTCGCGCGCAGTTCTGTTACGCACGGATCAGGCTTTTTTTAGACGAGGAGTTCTACTCGCGTTAAAGGAGAGAACAGCGCGAAAGAGAGACAGTCGCCTTTGCTGTACTTTCAAATATTTTAGGGGGGGAAAACCAAACATAAGAGCATGTCAGTGGTGAACGCAGTGTCGTTCATGGGGCCGCTCCATATGCGCTCTCCGGTGCCGCGGGGCCGCCGACACACGCTGCCGGCCAGCGAGTTCCGCTCCCTCAGCCCGGAGGATGCCATCAGCGTGTTCGAGATTGAGAGAGAAGGTAAGCAGAGTGTTAATGATTCACTTAATTAGCCCTACAGCACTTATTATAGCTGTCTTAGTCACTTCAGGACTGCACATTTACGCACACGGTTTTTTGCCCTCATTTTAAGGGAAAACAGGAACAATATGCAGCCTCGGTTCACGTTCTCACTCGCATACAAACTTCCACTCATTAATAATCACTCTATGGGAAGAATAACCTCCGTTAATCACATTTACAGAAGATACTACATATATCTTTTCAATGACCGTATTTTACATTTAATGTGCGGCCCACTACAAAAGGTAGTTACTATGGGGATTTAACTCTTTCCAGGTGAGTTGAGTTGAGCTGTCTTTAACTTGTATAACATCCCTGGCTGTGAGTATCTCCTCATCACATTCTCATAATAGTCAGAACGGTTGGGAACGTTATGTCCACTTCCCCTGCATCCAGGTGTCTAATTTCCTCCTCCTCCTCACAGCCTTCATCTCAGTGTCCGGTGAGTGTCCTCTCCACCTGGACGAGGTGCGTCACTTCCTCACCTTGTGCCCTGAGCTGTCTCTTGGCTGGTTCGAGGAGGGACGTCTGGTGGCTTTCGTCATCGGCTCACTGTGGGACCAGGAGAGGCTTACCACGGTAAGACAGAGCGGAGGACACCTGGACAATGATTTACCTCAGGCTGACCGGCAAGGAAAATGCAAAACCAGGTTCAAGTCAGATTAACGGAAGAGAAAAGAAAGATTTAAAGGCATATGTATAGTATGATGTCTTTGGGAAATTCAGTGGGTGGATCAACAGATCCACCTAAATGTTGAAATATTCACAGGTGTGGGAGTTGAACAAGCTTCAGCATTATTATGGCCTCTAACTCATACCACCTGAAGCACGATGAAGGACCCTCAAGAAAATGTTACGCATTTCATAATTCTACTAATCTGAAAATGGTTGACAGATTCAAAAGTTAAATTTCTCACATGCTCGTTCAATATGCATTGAAATGCAGGGTGTCTGTATCTGCAAAAAAAATAATCCAAAAATGTTCAAAAGCATGAATTAGAAATAGAAAAAAATGTATACACAACATCATAAACACATGTAATTAAGCATTAAATGTGTTGTGGACTTTTTCAGTATACATACAAATCTTAATGGAGAGCAAATGTGCAGGGCAATGCAAAGTATTCTCAGAGGACAATCAGAGCTCTGAAGACAATGAAAACAATGATATAGAGGTCAGAGGTCAGACTGTGTCAAACTAAAATTCAACTCTTTTAATGTTAAGACCAGGTTTTTGGCACATCCTTGAAGCTCTAAAGATCTGCGTCAACTTTATTTGCCTTAATTTCCCAAATGTGATTCTGCTGTCCAGCACCAACACTTGACTTCTCACAGGAAGCGATGAATCAGAGCTTAAAGTGAGAACGCTAGTGTCAGCAGCTTTTATCAATAGTGTCAGTTACATAATCAGCTGAGGTGATATACCATCTGACCCCCAAACAGCAGAGAGACAGCTGGACTCAACATGGACTTTTTAAATTTGCCATCCGAAGCCCAGCAGGATTCTCAACAGAGCGGCATTTACCTGTTCTGACACCTCTCCCCTCCCTCTCCGTTTCCCAGGATGCCCTCACTCTCCATAAGCCTCACGGGACCACCGTCCACATCCGCGTCCTGGCTGTCCACCGGACCTTCCGCCAGCAGGGCAAAGGCTCCATCCTGATGTGGCGCTACCTGCAGTACCTCCGCTGCCTGCCCTACGTCCGCCGCGCCGTGCTCATGTGCGAAGACTTTCTGGTTCCCTTCTACCGGAAGTCGGGTTTCAAGGTGAAGGGCCCCAGCGAGATCACAGTGGGGCCCCTCGCCTTCATCGAGATGCGATACCCAGTCAGGGGCCACGCCTTCATGCGTCGGAACAGCGGTTGTTGAGGACAGGAGGACTATCTCCCTGGCTTTCTAGCGGCATTGGGACCAATGCCCTCTTGGAAACAGAATTTGGGGTTCGTCTGAGCAGCTTGGTGGTACGCCGGCGACCAGAGCAGTGTTCGTTGAGCGTCACTGTGGGTGAGACCTGCTCATCAGGCAGCGAGGCGAGCTGAGACAGAGTCTGCGGACGGCCGGGAACAAAGAGCCGCCATCCAGCTGTCAGCAACAGCTGTTTGGAAAAGTGGTCAGAAACTACAAATATATTGATCTGTAGTTTAAAAACAAATCTTTAGAGCAAAGTACTGAAAGAATGTAAGCACTTATTTAAAATGTACTTTTGTATGAAACTCATTGATTTTGAAAAACTGATTGTCGTATTCAATAGGACGCAGCTGCCTTGTTTCTCTCTTTTTCATATTTGTTATTTAACCAATCTAACAGTGTCTGGCTCTCTGTGAAGCCAATTTGTTAGTCAAAAAAAAAAATCAGTGTTACAGTATTACTGTTTATGTTACCCTTTGTGTCACTATGATGACGGTACGACTATAAAGTAATATGCCAAAGTAAACCGCCAACCTTCAAGGACTGTGGAATAAGAATACAAAGTGAGGGGAATCAGCGATCAAACATCACAACATAAGTTAATGTGTTCACTTGAACGTGCTTTTCTGTTCTTTCATATTAAGATTTGATTGGACCTGTCCGTCTCAATCAGTTGTATATTTACCGATTTATATTTAGTATGTTTCCTAAATATATATGTGCTTCAAAATGTCTCCTTGATAGTCTCCTCTTGCCTAGAAAATCACCACCTCTGCCTCCCAAAGTCTTGAATCAAGATAAATATCTTGGGTTTTTTCCACATTTGTTCTTCAAATAATAAAAAGTTATATTTTCCAGCATGTCTGCTTTGAGTTCTTTCATGTATTTTAACAGTTCCTTCACGGAGTCCAAACAGTGGCTGTTCTGGAGCTTTCGATCACCTCGCATGATTTTGAATAGTTGTATTACAGGAATTTGTGCCAATTGTTAAATGTACTTTAGATTCATGAGAATATAATATGCAGTTATTCTCACTTTAATGTAAAGCTCTCATTGGTGTGGCACCAGAAATACAGAAAATGTAGAGAAATTGATGTCGGATACAAATCCTCTCCAACACACATCAGCTCATTACTAGAGTGGCATTCATGTTGTCATGACTGTGTTAACACAAGTGCATTTTCACATATAAAATTGAAGCAAAACAGACCAGTGCCTTGACCTGACATTGTTTTGAAACGTTCCCTTTTTATTCCAATTAATAGAAAACAGTGAAATGATTTGGTCCCGATGCAAACACAGCAGTGAAACTGCAGCACATACAGTCCTGACTGAAGACGCGGGTCGTTGCAGGTTCAGATCAAAGACTCGCATGTCAGAAGGCACAGTTAAGAGGTTTCCTAAAAAGAGCTCACACGTATTACACAGTGTATAACAATAAACTAGATCCGAAACAAAAGACGGGAGCCCGAGGGAGAACTCTGTCATGGACCGCAACCAGAGCAATCAGCTGCTAATGTCAGGACAGTGTATACGTCGGGGATTTACTTGCATTGTTTTTGTCAAGGACAGCAACAATAAGTGTGAATAGTAAACACAAAGTCTTTTACGGTATATTTCACAAACACATTAAGGCGCTGGCGGAACGTAAATTACATCTTGTGATTCTATGACCGTTTGCTTTCACAGAGTCAAACAAAATACGGCAAAACATACTAGGATCTAACAAAAACGCCTGTTTAGATTATCACTCCTGGAATAAATATTATTTTCACAATTGTTTTCAGAGTAAATCTACGACTGTGTTTGCAGCAGTGACGTACAGAAAAACATGAGGGATTGGGAAGAACAACATGCATATATCAGCAGCAGGTGTAGCTGCTTTGTAATGTGTTCATCAGCGTGCTGAGAGTTGATCACAGGCTGTATGCAGAAGTTAAAAGAGGCATCTGTGTAAAATGGCATAATCTGTTTAAGGCAACGAGTGGTTTTAGATAGAGATCTCACCTTAGTTGACCACTGCCATTTCACTTGAAATATTTCAGGTGCACAGGTAATACTCAAACATTTCACTGCTCCAAACAATATTGACACGCTTCGGCATTCACGAAACAGAGAGAAGCAGCAGGACTGAACGGCAGCGTTTGTAGTGTTTAACCCAGTGTTACCGACAACATGAATTAGTGGCAGGAGGCATCCGATGTATCTCAGTTCACTGGGCCACAAGATACCCGATGACCCACCACAGCGTCAGTCCTCCTTTTCATCTCAGCTGTTTGTCGTCCACAGGGTTAAAGGGAAACACAACTGGAGGCCCGAGGGGATTTATTTGGCTTCTTTAGATTCAGGGGACTTTGAGCTGAAGGGACCAGCCAGTCTCTCGCTCTGTGGACCATTTTCTTTAGGTCCACCCAGCTCTCTGCAGTTTTGTCATCCTGAGTATCGTTTCCTGTCCTCCGATCACTAGCCCGTTAGCAAATGAGCATGCTAGGTAGCTCCAGACTTGACTGAGGATTAAAAAGTAGGAGTACAGTTTTAGGGAGGTGAAGGCTGAGGAGACGAGACGGATTCAGTTCCATTCACATGGACTTTGATCAGTTCCTATGATGAGCAAATATAACAAAAAAACATTCTTAATTGGCCACCGAGTTGACCTGGTCAATGGCTAGAAGATATCGGATCAGTAGCACAAGTCACGTCATCAGTAGCCTCGAGATCAGTGCACCACATCGTTAATGTCATGGTCTATGTCGTACCGCTCGCAGAACTTGTTTGTGAAGGGCAGGCAGGTGAGATGCTCCAGCCAGTGCCAGTTAATCGGGTAAATGTAAAACCAAACGATGAGCGAGGAGACCAGCCCGATGTAGGCCAACATTGAGACAGCGATGAGGATGCGTTTCCGGTACTTGTCAAAGGTCCCGAAGGTGACGTAGGGCAGGAAGGCGAAGGAGAGCAGCAAGCCGCTGAGGAAACCGAAGATGTGGGCGATGTTGTCGATCCATGGCAGGAGGCCGCACAGGAAGAGGAAGAGGACGATGCCCAACAGCTTGAGGAAGGCTTTCCATGGCTTCTCCAGAATCTGCCAGCCTTGAAACAGCTCGACAAACAGGCAAGCGAGGAGTCCAAACTGAGACCCTGCTGGACCCACCTGTAGGGAGAGAACAAGGGGAGAAGACAAGTTAAACACTGTAATGGGAAATATGCTTCATCATATCATATTAAGTTTTAAAGATATAAGTCAGACATATGACAATGAAATAAGTTTTTTGCATGCCTTGTGTGCTTTGCAAGTTTCACCTGAGGACCAAAGGTGAATATTCTAGCATGAACGAGATAAAAGAATAGATCCCTCTGTTTGGATTGATCAAATCAGCAAGGCACTCAAAGTCTTGTTTGCTTTTGCTTACAAGACAGCTAAAAGGCTGATAATCCTGATTTCATGTTTGAATGTCCTCCAGCATCATCAGACCTTTGAGCAGATTAAAACAATATGTGTCTTGGTGTCGTGTCAGCACCCGTGTCTAAATACCCGTTTTCCATTGGATGATTTACCTAGGTGAAGGTTTTTTTTTTTCAAGGATATAAGGACGTGATTTCTGTGACTTAACCGACAGCCTCCCTACTGCACACTGAGATACATGTCAGTGGAGACGCTCTCCTATTTGCAAATATTAAAAGACGAACAACGTTGATTCTCTCGAGACTGGAAAACTCTAACTCTTCTCCCGATTGATCATTGAAATTTTCCATAACAACACTGTACCACAATCCAGTTAAAACCAAACAAAGGAAGGTTTAGTCCCGACAAAAACATGCAAGAGCTCTTCTATATTCCTACTCCCATAGAACCCCCCCCCCCCCACACGCACACACAACGTATCCAAAAGACTAAGATGTAGGACTGAGCACTGGACACACGCATCATCTCTGATGTGTACCGGAGATAAAATGCTTACATCCTGCTTACTAGTGACGCGGGGCTTTTCAACAGACCTTGACGTTAGTTGACAGCGTTCAGATTTGATTCCATAACAGCAATCTGTCTTCTCACCAGTGAGAACCCACTCCACTCATTCGGTAGATAACACCGCGTTATGCAAGTGGGTCATATAGATCGGAGTTAAAATGTACAACAGATCATTAAATACTAATTTCCCTGACAGCAGAGGACGATGGAACTTTCATGTCTGCTTATGTTGTTTGCACACTGCTGTGTAACAACCAATCCAATTAAAGACATAAAAAACACTCCTAGTCTTTCATAGGTGAAAGCTGCAATCCATAACTTTCCATATAAAGACGATGAAGCGCCTAAAACAGCATGCAGTAAAGTTATCTGGTAAGTTGAACAGATGCAAAACATGAATATGTAGCGGAGCATTCTGTGTTACTTGGATTGCTGTTTAGTAATAGCAAGCCAAGAAAACTGATGTTGTCTTTTGATCATCTTTCTGCAGAGTTTTAGGAGTAGCAGTGAACGTTCATTATTCCAGTCACAGCTGCCACAGGGTCCCCTTAAATCAACAGTTACAGGATAATCCACTTAAACCGCCTCCTTAAGCGCCTTGACCTTCCTTTGTTGTGCTTTGCGTGTGCTTCCTCTGGTTATTATTATTATTATGATGGTGGGATTTCTGGCTCTCACGTCAAAGTACGTCATAGCTCACCTCATGTCGCGTCACGCAAATATCAGGGGAGAGCAATTAGTGTCGGCTCATGAAGACGATAACAGATTTCTGGATGACATAGAGGCAGGAAGCTTTTGTGTTCATAAAAAGGTGCAGAATCAAGTCCAGTCTTTGCTAAAAAAAAGAAATTGTTTAAAAGGAAAGAAATGTGATCCCATTCACTAAGTACTGCAGCACCCACACAATGGCATTCGACTAATCTCTTAAAGAGACACACCGTCGAGAACAGTGCCAGTAAAATGTAGGTAATCCACAGTGTTTTTCACACGGATCAACAATTTGTTTTTGAAGAGATTTTGCAACTTCTATAAGAGTAGAGCTACTCCAAAAAAAAAGACAGAGGCACTGTTTAAAAAATCAGATGCTTATTTTTCTCCCTGTGTGGCATAAAAAAAAATCACCTAGTTAGTTGCAGTTGACATCTCTCTCTCTCTATTTGTCAGTCAACCATTGTTTGTACAGTGACGTCTTTTTTCTTGAATTCTCTCTTGATGATTCTACAGGTGGCAGTCTGTCTTTTTTAAAGTTCTTCTATTTATTCAATATAAGCTGCAACCAATATAAGCAAAACCAATGTCTTCCTAAAAGGTTGAGGAATGCAGACATTAATTAAACTTCAAGGCTATGGTCTGTATTTGTAAATGTCAGCACAGGTTTTTCTTTAGATGCTCCACATATTCCTGAAACATTTGTTTCCTTTTTTTGAGGGATGATTAGAGCCTAAATCCAACAACAGCACTTGGTTGGATGACGCTGCTCTCTTCATAGCAAAGACTCAGCTGCAGTAAAGCAGTCTCATAAAGTGTTATGAGACTTACACTAAGCTCAGTTTCTCCAGGTACTTACACAGTTAACACCATGAGGTCCTTTGGGTTTTGGGTCTTTAATTCATTCAGGGAATGTTAATGTAATTATATCTCACATCTGTCTCACACCAAAGACATTGACCATCTCAGAGAACGACATGACATGTGTGTATTCGACTGTGTGAACACGCGAGTGTGTCTGCGCATGTAAGTGCATGTAAGAGCTTACGTACTAGAAATAAATCAGCTTCCCTTGGGAAAACTATTGGCAGAAAAAAGAAGTCCCACCGAGTCTACTGTACACGTGTGCACTTTATGTGCATTCTATGTTTTTGCATACTGTGAAGAACTCACCTCAGCTCTGTAGGGCAGGAACAGGGCGGAGGCGATGTTTCCAGTGATGCCACTGAGGATATAGATGATGGAGATGCGGACCCAACCAGCCAGCTTCTCCAGGTCTCTCAGTATGGTCATCTGGAACACCACCGACACCAGGCAGTGCAACAACCTACACACACACACACACACACACACACACACCAGTCAGAGAATGATGCATATGTGCGGTCTGCTCGTATTTCCACCAGTGCATTGCATCATATACAGTTGTGTGAAAAAGTGTTTGCCCCCTTCCTGATTTCTTATTTTTTTGCATGTTTGTCACACTTAAATGTTTCAGATCATCAAACAAATTTAAATATTAGACAAAGATAACAAGTAAACACAAAATGCAGTTTTTAAATGAAGGTTTTTATTATTAAGGGGGA